CGTCGAGGCTATAACATTTATATTTATATCTTCTGTAGCATCTACTAGCCAGTAGAGTAACCGGAAGTGATATAAGAACCGGCAGTATATATTAAGACTCGTCTTGTTCAGGTGCTATTATCGCTTGTACTATTTCACTGACTTTAAAACCGTCTTTCGGTACTTCCGGTTGCAACTCTGGAACCGGAAATTCAAGGTGAAATTTCTGACCTTTAAAATATAATGAAAATCCTATATAAAAGGTATATAATTAAAAAACCCTTTGGGGCTACATCACAGAACGTTTTCGGACTAAAAAGTCCATTATCAGTGTATTATTACCAGGTATACATGAGTCAAGCTACTAAATATTTGGGTAAAAACCCTTAAAAAGTTACATTTGTTATGTGTTATATTATTTTTGAAAATATGTTGTGATGTTGAAATATTTAACAGATACCCTGCATGGCAACGTAAACTCACGTATCCTGGTAATAAGAAACTGATGGACTTTTTAGTCCGAAAACGTTCTATGATGTAGCCCGAAAGGGCCTTTTTTTATTTATATAACTTTTATAAAGAATTTTTAAATAAAATTTTGCAATTCATTTTATACAGCCAACTACAGGAATTTCATTTTCCTTGTAAATTTTAAATTATAAATAATTTAAAAAATTATAAAGTCCCCAGCCTATATGACATTACATATGAAACCGTCAAAATTATAGCAATGAATATAGCTCATTTAGTCTATTTAAGCAATTTGACAATTTATTCCACAGTGTTGTTTTCGCTGAAAAATATGCAGCATCTAACTATAGAAGATAATAGTATTTTCTAGATCAGAATAATTTAATTTAAAAAGGTAATTGAGCTTTCAAAAAGTCTTTGAATCTATTACGCAATTCTGCGATCTCTAACTAAATGAATGTATGAAAGGATGGAAAACAGTGGAAAGGATGGATTACGAAATAAGAGAAAATGCAAAAATTACAGGTTTTATAATATATATCCATGATTTACTTTCAATTAATACTCAGCGACAAATATTACGTTTGCAAGATGATATGGTTGTGTTTTATGCTAAAACATATTGTAGAGAAATATTACCATTGATTTATTTCCTATCAAACTATACTAAACCAAATACATATAATAAACAGTATCATTTGAACTTCCGAAGCGATAGGTCGACAATAATAGGCGGCCAGTGTCTTTTTCTACTAATTAACTCGATTTTAAATTAGTACAGGTGATTCGAAATTTGACATTAGCTCAGTGTAATAAATAAGTCTACAAGTGGTCCCCCATGGGAGAGGCGATTTTCCCAGAGAAGCCAAGAGGTGATTTAAACTTTTCACGTGTCAGTGATAATAGTAAAATGCATATTAATGAATATAGTTTAATAAAAGATTTTGATGATTCGACTGCGAAAAATGCCAGAACCAGAAACTCTAACAACACAAAAAACAGTAGCGATAAAATTTGTCAACGCCAAATCAGATTAAGTACAATTTTAATAATGTTTATGTTTACATAGAAAAAACAAACAATAAAAATATAGGCCGTTTGCATCCCTCAACTGTCACGCATATTTTGCATAAAAAGTTGAATATTTCTAATATTATTGAAATTAAAGGCATTGGTAAAATCACAATTAAAGTTTTGTTAAGGTCAATTTCTGATGCAAATAATTTGCATTATTGGGGCCGTGCAAGTTCGGAACAGCGACACCTGGTGTCGTAAATCAGCAAAATATACTGCGCTTTCATGTTAGATCGAGGTTACCGGATAACTATCAAGGACGTTGTCCCAAAAAAGAATAAGAAGAAAAAGTAAGATTGAGGTTATGTCGGTATGTCATTAAAAGGTAAACGTTGTATTTAATAATATATTTATTTGTATTTACACTACATACAACGTTTCTTGTAAAACGAAAGCAGAAGAAGAAACGTTGTATGTAGTATAAATACAAATAAATATATTAACTTTGAAAAATAAGGCTATTATCGAGCACAAGTTAATTAAATCTAGCCCAAGTACTTTCGCTTAAAATAGCATCTTCAGGGGCATTTCGTCAAATATAAACTATCCGGCAAGCGTAGAATGTGGAAACATTAATAATGACATAAAATTGTACAAAACACTACACTAAAACGAGGACAAACAGTTTAAAATGACTTTAAAGATTCTACGCTACATTCTTTGTCAGTATCTGGAGGGATAAAGGGATAAAGGAGGGATTATCCCTACATCTACTATCCCTACAGATACTGACAAAGAATGTAGCGTAGAATCTTTAAAGTAATTTTAAACTGTTTGTCCTCGTTTTAGTGTAGTGTTTTGTACAATTTTATGTCATTATTAATGTTTCCACATTCTACGCTTGCCGGATAGTTTATATTTGACGAAATGCCCCTGAAGATGCTAATTTAAGCAAAAGTACTTGGGCTAGATTTAATTAACTTGTGCTCGATAACAGCCTTATTTTTCAAAGTTCATTTATTCGAGCATTCAACCTCATTTCAATTAAAAAATAAATATATTATTAAATTACTGCATTACTGTTAATATGGATGCAATAATGAAAACTGGATTTGAGAAAGTAAATCACCAAATAACTTTTCAACCAAGCACTGAGTCAAAGGGAAAAGCTTTAGTAGTGGCAAATGTCAAAAAAGAATGGAAGAATTAAGAAAAATAAATTATCATAAATAATGCTAATGCATAAATTAGCAGGTTAAGCCCATAATATCATCATATTGGTTTGAACAATTAATTCTTTCCCTGTAAACTTTTGGACAGCGAATATATCTTAATGCATCTTCAGAAAAACTTGAACTTGATGCATATTTGTAAACTTCAAAAAAAAATAAAATTTAAACATAAACTTGATTTTTGGGTTAAAATGAACTCTAAGTGAGTGTTATGAAACTAAAATTTACACTTAAAAGTGAACTTTTATTTAATATTTATTTCAAACTGACTTTAAAATCGGGCGCAAGAATAATGCATAATTTAGGTTGTGTTACTTATGCTTTTTTATGATATAAATCCACTTTTCTCTTTGTAGTAGCTTTGTGCTTCGAAGTTGGAAACGAATAAAACTTAAATTGACAATTTTTTGTTGTATTTTTACAATTTATAACACAGCATTTCCTAAATCCCATTTTCTTCAGTGACAGAAGGTGTAAATAAACACGAATATGAAATATGACAATTGACAATATGAATTTATGAAATCTATGAAATGTGCAGTAAAAAATGCAAGACTTCTCCGCTACTCGCGCACGATCGTTTCTCGTATCCCCTCCAAGTACTTGCACGTCGCCAATATATATTTTACTATTTTACCTAGCTACATTGCAATAAATAGTGTATTTTTTCCTGTTGAAACCTATATTGGCAATGTCACTCAATGTTATAATTGTTTAAGATTTAAACATATCTCCAAGCAGTGTCGCAGTATACAGGCACATTGCATAAAATGCAGAAAAACCAAAAATGAAGATCATGCGTGTCAGGATAATGATATTCAGTTATCCATTGCAATAGAAAGGATCATGTATCCATTTCCAAGATATGTCCAAAATATGAACTACAAAAGAAAATAAAAAACGTAATAATTGAGCAAAGAACTTCTTTTATCGAGACAAAAACTTACTGTGAATCATCCTTCTCGAGATTGTTCACTCAGAATAGATATTCCACATAAGAAAAATATCGGAAACAGTTTTCCTTCCCTGCCAACATTCACCAAAAATTCAACCCCTTCTGCTGCCACAAAAGTAATCACTCTGCTTATGCGTAGAAACCAAAACATATCATCAAATAATACATCACAACCCTCCTTAAGTCAGCATAGCATAGCGAAAAAACGAAAATGAATCTCTCCTACTCCACAGCCCCCACATAATGCACCTATGTTTCCTTTTAATTTTGGGCCCACTAAACCCCTTCCTGCTAATTTAAACATCCCTAATTGTCAAAATAAACCAGATCAGACAGTTCTAGAAGCACTTATTTCCAAATACATTTTTAATTTAATCACAAAATATTCAAACTGTAGATAATATAAAAACAATAAGTCAAGATAGTATTTACCATGGAATAAAAACGATTTTGGAGGACATCATCAATAAATAACATCTTCACAGAACTTAAATCATTAAACATTTTGCAATGGAACGCTTGATCCGTTGTTTCGAATAAAAACAGTTTAGTTCATTTTTTAACAACAGAAAATATTGACATTACTTTATTAAGTGAAACTTGATTCAAACCAAATCAGAATTATATATTTAAAGGTTATAATGTAATCCAAATTTAAGCAAAAATACTTCTTTTAAAAATATATGGTCAGAAGCTAACAAAATGAACCGAAAATCATATAATAGTACAAAACCCTTCAATGATACTTTATTAGACGTCTTCTTTTTTAGAGTATCTCCTCTATGGGTTCAACATTCGCCTACACAACCTACACAAAGTCATCATTTAAGTAATCACTTTCTGTTAAAATCTTTTTGTAAACCTGAATTAGACTTCGCTTTTAAAAACCACATTAATACTTCTCCTGGAATCGATCATGTAAAATACCCCATGTTAATCAACCTACCTAAGGTTGCCAAAAACCATCTGTTACATATCTTCAATGATATCATCAAAATAACATAGTTATCGATTCCTTCAAAAATATCTTAGTCGTTCCTATTCTTAAACCCGGAAAGGTTACAAATATTATTGTTCATATAGACCAATATCCTTACTCTCTTGCGTATTCAAAACCCTAGAAAGGCTTATAAAATTTTGATTATATTGGTGGATACTAAAAGAGAATTTACTCTTTTCAGCTTCTATTAGGGATAGGGTTGTGTATTTGTCTGATTAGTGAATCTATTACAACTGGCTGAATGACTAATGTCTATGCCATTAAAATAATAATAATAATAAAGGTTATATAATATTAAGGAGAAATATATTATTATTATGTAGCTCATTAATTTTTTAGTTACACTTACCGCATATTGCGTGGCAAAATCCTTTAGGCGTGATTGGAGATTCACAGTTTAAATTTTTGGGGCTTTTAAAGTACCTACAAGTATCCATGTTTACTATCTCGTTGCCACAAAAACAACCGCTGGGATCGTTACAAGCTACGTTTCGAATATTTAAGACAACATCAAGCATAAAAATCAAGAATACTAAAAAAGTAATTCATATTAGTTAATACGTTAAAAGCTGTTAGAAAAATCATCGTAAATATAAATCACAAAATAGAATATTAAGAAGTGAGAATATAATTGAGTGAATCAGACAAAATTGTATTAAGTAATAAAACAAAACCGAAAAAGATCGTCCGTCAGTTAACTGAAGAAATATAAAGCAATATTGCTAGATGATATGCGTAATATTGGGTTGTACAAAAAGGTTCCACAAAAGGGAAGCTAGGACAAGTAAACAAGACGATTAAAAAAAGAAAAAAGGGTAACTGCTAATTAACATCCATTTCTTCTAAACAGTTTTATCTCTTAAAATTTTATTCTGTTTTTGTTTGATTTTTTATTGGAACGTAGTGGCTATTTATCTATTTACCATTTTATTAAGTTTTATAATAGGATTCCTAGCGGTCTTCTTTTTTTGGAGCCCTGTCGATATTCGGACATTGGCCGACATCATGTTTACAAATTTCCCGAAATATTTCTTTATCGTCTGCTGCGAGAAATAAGTATTCGATTGTGAGACCACACCACTGTCTGATATTACACAAATTTTCTTTTCCCTTTTCCTTTATTTTAAGCCGAAGTAGATTGTATTTAGGTTCTCTCACTATGTTTCTGAAGTATTTTATTTTCATTCTCTTTATAATGTCTAAGAGCAGTCTAGTCGGTCAGTATTCATTATTCGAAGAATAGCTTCATTTGAGGTGTGCGGGATCAACGTTATCTTTAGGATAGCATCTGTTTGCAGAACTTCCTTCTTCTAAGAGAAAATGGGCTCGGATGTACTCTTCTACACTGAATCTAACACACGCTAGCCATCCCTTCCTAGGGATGGTTTAACCTGGTACGGTTTTTAGAAATTTCTACCCTCAGAGAAAAAAAAATGATCCTGCGATAGTACCTTGATCCGAATGCTTTTAATTTGTTCAGCAATTTGGTTTTTAATGTAGCAGCCATATAATAGAATAGATCACATACAGCATCTTAGGACCCCATTACGAACATACATTAATAGCTTTCTGTTCCTGGGGTTCTCTCCTCTGTTTAGAGCAAAATAACAATGTGTTGAGATCTGCTTGTTGGAATATAATACCATGAAATAAGGGGATAAACAAAGAAGAATTGAACTAAACACATACCAAATTGATATATGTGCCACATCAGAATCCAGAAGCAAGTGAAAAGAAACTACAATATGCAAAACCTATTTAATATATAACGGTAAGCAGAAATGTTTGGCATGAAATTGAATACAAAGAAGACAAAAACGATGGTCATCAGCAAGCACCAAAAGAGAAGGGTGAAGGTCAATGTCGACGGAACAGATCTGGAAAGAGTAACAAGAACAACGTACCTTGGAAGTAATCTTGATGAAACTTGGGACCACTCACTAGAGATAAGAATACGCCTGGAAAAGGCACGTACAATGTTTTACAAAATTCAAAAAGTTCTATGCACCTACGAATACTTAAGTGCTATGTTTTCTCCACCTTGCTCTATGGTGTTGAAGTCTGGACAATGACAGAAGCAACACAAAAAAGAATCCAAGCATTCGAACTCTGGTGTTACCGTAAAATGCTCAGAATATCCTATATGAGCCATACGACAAATGCGGAAGTCTTGCGGAGGATGAATAAGGAAAGAGAGCTTATGCTTATGATAAGAGAACGAAAAACACAATATTTTGGTCACATCATAAGAAATCAAAAGTATGAACTGCTCCAACTTATAATCGAAGGCAAAGTCAATAGCAAAAGAGGACCAGGAAGAAGACGCAACTCTTGGCTTAAAAAACTACGGCAATGGACGAACATGACCTCCATAGAACTATTCAGGGCTGATACAAATAAGATTAAATGGGCAAATGTAATGGCCAACATTCTTAAGGATAAGGCACCGTAAGAAGAAGAAAAAAGAAGAAATGTGATAAACAAATTCATTAGATGGACTACTATTACACGATAGATTAAAAGCGTGCATAACTAGTGCAAGGTATGGGAATGGCAGAATACTAACTAATCATCATTGGCATTACAACTCTTCCATAAATCTTTGTCGCATTTATTATTACCTTCCATGTTTGTCGGTCCAGTGCCACTATTTTCCATTATCTCACTCCCACTTTCTCCAGATTCTTTCTGACTGCATCTTTTCACCTTTTTCTGGGCCGTCCAATAGATAATCTCCCATTTGGTATTTCTCAGAATACACTGTTTTTAAGGCGATTGTCATTACTACGTATCACACATCCTGCCTATCTTAGTCTATTGGCCTATATATCTCACTAGATTTTTCTTTCCGAGGGATAACTTTTGACCTCATTAGATGTTGCATTTTAAAGAAAGATTTGTTTTCCGCCAGTATTTGCGTTTTAAATTCTCGTTATACTTTGTTGTCATTCATGATTGCTGCTCCTATGTATTTAAATTATTTAATGTTCATGACCGTTTTATCATCTATAGTAATATTCATCGAAATTATGATCGTTTTTATTAATATTACAAAATACTAATGCTTTACAGCATCTTATGGTCACTTACAGAACACTTACAGTAAAATGGGAAAAGCTAGTACCAGACACTCCTTCTTTAAGTACTGCCTTCCAATCGGAAATTGGAAATCATCATCACTATCTTTACTCTATATACCGATGCTCTGAAAAGTTCTATTGAATTGCATCTAAACCAGTCTCTTAAAATTTTCAAGCATGGCACACTCCTTCTTCTCTTACTCCTTCCTCATCTTTCCCTGTATTATCAATCTCAGCATTTCATATCGCTGTCCCCCCATTACATTTCCCAGATATTGTAAATTCCTTGTTTTTATTGTATTTATTATTTCGTATTCTTGACCATTTCTCGCAATACTTTCGTGTTCGTTTTCATATGTATCCATGCTATTCTAAGCATCCTTCTGTAACACCACATATCAAATGTGTCTAGCTTATTTATGTGTTCTTGCTTTAGTGTCCAGCTTTTAAGTCCATATTGTAATATCGAAAACACGTAACGTCTCAGAGCTCGTACTCTCAGTTACAATCTAAGGTCTTTATTGCAGAGAATTGTTTTCATTTTTACAAACGCATTTCTTGTTATTTCTATCCTGACCCTTATTCCTGTCGTTTGATTACTATTTTCTGAAATTCCAGGTTTCCAGTATTTGCATTTTTTAACCTTTTCTATCGGCACATCTCCCAAATGTATGTTTGTTTTTATTTGTTTTCTTTGTTATTATCGTGCATAAAAATCTAATTTTTACATTCATTCTTAGTCCATATTTTTTACAGTAACTGTGGTCCAGATACAAAGATATTCAAATTAGTAAACGAAGAAACATTCCTATGTTGACGAAATTGTTCAATGAAATGTATAAATCCCAATGAATATCCCCAAAAAAAACTCAGCATCGCCAACAAATGTGAACAGTTTACGTTAATTAGCTTAATTATTCATGCTCCAAAAATTATGCTTAAAATAATTCATTATCGAGTAGGTATATAATATGCAAAAAAGGCGGTATGAAATACCGTTTGGTTTCCGAGAAGGGATGGAAACAAGATGTCGAGATCAACGGAAAGACGTATATATGTATTTCATTGAGTAGAAGAGATAGACTATTGTAGATGGATAGATAGAATATATTGATAGAGTGGAAACATGCAGTGCTTTTTAGCATACTAAAAGAGAAGGTAAGGGAACTTTTATTGAGAACAGAGAGCATTCGTAACAGAAGGACAAGACGAAATGGATGATATACTAATACTATAGAAGTCCACCAAAAAATTCTAAAAATAACTGCATATTTAGTACTTATGGTGTATTTGCTTTTTAAATATAACAATTTTCTTTTCAATACTTACATCCTAATATTTCATCGTTTTTGGCTGCAATTATGTCATTATTTGTCCAGTAATCGTGACCATATTTTAAACTTTTTACTGTTATTGGTTGATATATTTTAATACCTCCTGTTAATATTCCCTTTGGAAAAACCACATCATCGTATTCGCAAGGCAATCTTTCCATGTGAGGAACAGCTTCGTTGCCGTTGAGTCTACCTGGTAATAACCAATTGCCTGAATGATGCCATCGATGCAAATTCATCTCTGTAGTGTTTGTGGCAACACCTTTAAATAACAACAAAAGCGTAAAGCAAAGTTTTTTTACTAAATTGTAGTATCTTAAGAAATACTTCGTATAAACTTAGCTTTAAGAAATCTAACAGAAGTAAAAGAAATGGTTTCCGCCAAGCGACATAATCAAAGGTTATAGTTTATTTTTATGAACGAGAGAGTAATTAGCATAATTTTAACTGGTACCTCCGACCACTCCATGGGCGTGCTCAAGATTAATTGAAAAATTACTTTGAATAATTGTAAAAAATAAATGAATTATTTCAGTGTTATAAAGTGTTATGTGTATGTAAACAAAAGTGACCTCTTTTATCACACACTATATTAGAACTGACTGGCCTACATTAAAAAGGGTTTTAAAAAATTCACATTTTTTTTAATTTTTAAAAATTACAAAAGAGAAAAAGAGTTTTTAAAACCGTCTAAGGTATGTTAAATAGATGAATAAAAATATTAATATAAAACTTACAGCTACTTGTTACAAATCCAAATCAGATTCAGAAGATGAACTTTCAGAACCAAGATTTATAATAACTGGCTCGATCATTTTATCAGTAATATTGTCCAGCTTCCACATTTTTTCCTCTTCTTTAATAGTGTGATTTACTGCCTTTTCCCAGTTTTCAGGTTTTACATTATTTACGGCCTCCAAAAACAACTGTTTAACATCATGAATTTTAAAAGTGGTATTTTTTCTTGAAACTTCACTCTTTATCTGTGCCCATACCAGTTCAATCGGGTTTAATTCACAATGATATGGTGGGGATCTAAGTACTGTCATTCCACGATTTTTGGCAATTTCATCAATTTCGTATTTTTTAAATTTTTCTTTATGAAGGGCACACAACGAATAAAGTTCCTTTCTTATAGATCCGGGATGGTACGTAATATTTTTTGAACTCAGCCAATTCTGCAAGTCTTTTTTTAACCACTTGGTTGTGGGCAGTCCTTCTATAAGTCTGGAGTGATAACTTGCATTATCCATTACTATTACACAGTTCTTAGGAAGATATATCATTTGTTCGAACCATTCTTGAAAGACATCAGCGTTCATGTCTTGACTTGTAACAGTTTCATCCTGCCAAAATTTATTTGGTGTATGACCCTCGTTGATCCATGTTTCATCAAGATAAAATATTTTTCTTTTTGGTTTCTCATTTCCTTTATGGTTCTTAGAAAATGTCTTCTCCATATGACAATATCGCTTCTTTCTAATAAAATAGACTTTCTGGGATTCTTTTTCCAGCGGAAGCCTATTTCTTTTAAAAGTTTCCATAACGTACTTCGACTCATTTCTGGGTAATCCTTATCATCTCGAACTGAGACAAGAACTTTATCCAATGTTGGAAATTCTTGTCTAAAGAAGAATTCATGCACTTTCCGTCGAAGTCCTTCTTTAAAATGATATTCTATTTGAAATTTTGGTTTCCCTGGAGCATTACGTGGCATTTGAAAACTACCACATTTCTCTTCTTTAATAACTCTGTAAATCGTAGATTTCCCAACACCAAGTGTACTGCTAACTAACTCAACGGTCTCATCAACACTTTCACATAAACGTTTGTCTGTAAATGATTTAAAACAATTAAATATTAATGTTTTTTCATTAACTGTTAAAGGACCAATTTTTCGGCGTTTACACGGCACTTCCAAATTTTCCATAACACTAGTATACACAATAAACTGCACCTTGCAACTGAAGTACCTACTTTTAGTGAACTGTTAAGAATTTTGAATACGCCACTTGGACCTTCCTACAAAATGGAAAAACCCACTATCACATTTTCTGTGGAATAAGTTTAGAAGGTAATTATCTAGTCAATTACTGTCGTAGATTCCTGGAATTAAAGAATTAAATGTTTGATTGTTGAAACCCTTACTTCGTGGAATGCACTCATTTCAGATAAAATAAAACGTTTTATTTTATCTAAAGAATTAAACTTTATTTTGCAAATAGGTAGGTACTTATTAAACTTTTATTGGTTATATATAACCAATAAAATAAACATCTTACATTTCTTGCAAATTCATTAGTACCTGTTAACCTCCATCACTCCGACACTGGCAACCTTATTTAGGGATTAGTAACCCTCACAACTATTGTATTCTATTCTGCTCCAACCTTTATACCTGGTGGTCATACTCAATTTAAAATTGTTTTCCTATATACTTCTGTAAACTTGTTGACAAATATCTGTTTTTCATTGAGTCACCCATATCAACAGTTTAGGGATTTGCATACATAATTTGTTGTTTTATTACTCTCTCATACATCAAAATACACTATAGCTTGGTACCTTATGTAGAAACTTAGATCATAGGCAGCTTTGTATTTTACAATTTAATAATTAAGTGCCAAACGGTAATTTAAGAGCCTATTTGTTTTCTGCTCCTCGGTCACAAGATAAATTGGCGACTGAGTAAAACTTGTCAAATTCCCAATAATCGTTATTTATAAGTATTTTTATGTCTAAATATGTTAGACCACGAGGAAATGGCCCCAACCCAAGGGACAGCGAATTTGGCGATGATTTCGAAGTATTCGAAGAAAGATTGGAGCAGTATTTGTTGGCGAATTCACTTGAAGCTCAATAACAATAACAACTGAATATCAATAACATTTTGAAAAATTTATGTTCACCGACTAAGCGCAAAACAAAAATGGACAAAATTTTAGTAGGTTTGCATGCAAACAAAGAGCCAGAGGTCCAGACATTGGATTTTTTTAATGTTGATATTTTTAGTTTAGAAAATGATTTGTTAGAGCCAATCAAAATGCTCTTCTTCTTCTTAGCCTTCTGTCGTCCATGTTTGGATGTAGGCCTCTCCCAACTCCTTCCATCGGTCTCTATCCTGAGCAACATATTTCCAATTTGTTCCGGCTATTCTTTTAATATCATGCAGTTATGCCATATTGATATACCCATAAGGTTTGAGGTGTTTGAGGAACTATCATTATGTTAAAATCATCTTTATCATGGCTTGGTAGTTAAAAAGGACAAATTAGATTACTTGCTAATATAAATAATAGCGAAAAGAATGCATTTTTTTATTGTTAAGGGGGCCACAAAATGTTTATTAGGCCGTGATATTTGGAATGACTTTGGTTTAAGTTTGAAGGGTCCATATGTGTATTTAGACAACAGTAAAGTAAGTAGGTTTAGCGTGATATTGAAAAGAGCTTGTCAAAAATCTACTACATAATATATAATATAAGATAATATAATATTATTATAAATAATAATATTTATTTAAGAATGAGTTAGGGACATTTAACTATGAAAAGTTTCAATTAGAAAATGAAGAAGGATCTACACCTATTTTTCGGAGACCAGATCCGATACCGTTTGCATTTAGGGAAAAAGTAGTTAAAGAGATTGAAAAATTAAAAGAAAGTAAAGTGATAGAGCAACTGTCTCTTGCAAACTGGGGAACACCGTTAGTACCAGTGTACAAGGCTAATGGAATGGATTGAGGGTTTGTGGTAACTACAAAGTTATATATATATATATATATATATATATTATATATATATATATATATATAATATATATATATATAATATATAATATATATATGTATATATTGTAGTTTTGAGTTTCTTTTTGTTGTTATTATTGTTCTTGGAACATTTCTTATTGTTTTTGAGTATTGAAAACGTATAAGAGCAAATGGGTAGAATGAGTAATAAATGAGGTTTTAGGAGATGGGCATTAAATTTGTGAAAATGTTAATGAAAATATATTTTGAAAGTATCATGTCGATTAGATATTGAAACGAAAATTCAATGAGTTAGGAGGTTTAAAAAAAACTTTGAAAATAAATTAAGTTTAGATGAGTTTGAAGGATCTGATCCTATGATGCCTGTTTATGATAATACCTGAGTTAATCGTATCTGATTGTATTGGCGATATTACATCATTAATAATTAATGTAGTAGATAACAGTATGAGTAATGAGAAACCAGATAGTAGTGATAAAGTTAGTGAAAATGTCGAGGAAGAAACTTTAGATAATGCTTTGCCAGTGCGGTCAGAAAAACTTATTAAAGCTCCCGATTGTTTGGATCTCTAGAGGGGAGATATTGTAGTATCTTAAGAAATACTTCATGTAAACTTCATCATCATCATCAGTGGCATTACAGCTCGTCATGAGCCAAAGACTTCTGCAGAACAATCTTCAATTCGCCCATGTCTCTGGCAACTCGTCTCCATGCTGACGATCTTCTCATCTTCATTTTAGATCATCCTCTATGTTATCTTGATACCTAAGTTTGGTCTTCCTCTGGATCATCTTCCCACTGGTCCTCTTTGGTCGAAATTTTTTCTGATCGTTGCATCTTATCTGTCCCATCCATCGAAGGCGTGCTAATTTATATAATTTTACAACGTCAGGTTCCCCAAAACTTCTGTATAACTCAAAGTTGTAGCACCTACGCCACAAACCCTGTTCTTGGACTCCTCCATATATTTTCCTTAGAATTTTTCTCTCGAAACGTTTAAGCAGTTCTTGGTCATTCTGTGTAAGTGACCACGTTTCTGACCCGTATGTTAACACTGGCCTTATTAGTGTTTTATATATGGTAATTTTAATTTTTCTGGGTAGTTTTGGGGCTATCTGTTTCCTCAAGCCATAATAGCACTTAGTGTCAAGCACTTTTCTTCTTTGAATTTATTTGCTGACATTGTTGTCTTTGTAAGATTCCTTCCATTTCTAGTGTAAGGAATAGATGTGTGTAAATTCTGCTCCATAATAATTTTAATTTTTGGTTATTGTGAGTCGATAATTTTGCTGATTTTGCGTGCAGTGTGTAATACAAGAATAAAAGTGTTAAGGGTAATTATAGCAAAGACATTGGAAGAGAGGTAAGTGCATAGCCTCGATAAATTTAGGAAGACGAAGGAACTTTTATTTACTCTCAACACAAAAAACTAAAAACAAAACCGGCCCAGGTAATTAACACTATATATCAGTTTTAAAAGCTAGAGGTGGGC